AAAAAAAAAAGGAAAATGGGGCCTAAATAGGTTGGCTTGCTCAAAGCTAGGTTGTCACAAACCTTCAATGTGATATTGTTTATTAAAAAAAATTAAAGCAAAGCACAATAAAATGAGATAATGCTTAGACTGAGAATTAACTAAAACAAGGTATGTCATGTAGAGTTTGGTGCATAGCAGGCTACAGGAACCTCTCCTGTGTTAAGTCTTGGAGTTTTCTGTATTGGCCATTTGACTAAGCAATCTCTCGAAGGCCAGAGACAAAGCTTCTTTAGCCGTGTATCCCCTGCTGAAGAGTGGAAAGCCACCAAGCTGCCTCCTGCTCAGCCTGTAAGATGTGACATCACCTGATTCAGGACCTACATCTTAGCAGTCCTCCGTCTGAGGCGTGACTAATCTAAGTTTGGTTCTCTGCTTCTCCAGTGACTTGCAAGATGATTTTATCTCGCCATGTGGAGCCTGCAGACAAGTCATGAGAGAGGTAAGCAGTTCTTCTTTCTTTTTGCAAACTAACCCTGTGAGCCCCTTTTCTCCCAGGCTGTGAGGGCCATGCTGGGCCTCCAGGGAGGAGAGAGGCTGCTGACCTACCTGAGTGCTCGGTTAGCAGGCCCCTGAGGCCATCATCCTGGATCAGTGGCAGAAACTTTTCATTCAACAGATACTTAGTGAGAGTCTCCACTGTACCAGACACTGAGCTGGCTTCCTGATAAAACCCATTGCCAACCTTCCAGAAGTAGATTTGGCCAATTACATCAGAGACCATATGCCCCCACTGTTGTGACCCATCAAGTTGATTCTGGCTTGTAATAACCCAAAGCAGAACAACCCTGTACATGTACCTAGGCTGTCCTGGAAGAGGTACACCAGAGTACTCCTTAAAGGTCAGGGAGGTGAGACTTTACCTCAGATACTGTTGCCAGGAGGGGCCAGTCCCTGGAAAATGACATCCTGCTTGGAAAGGCAGAAGGTCCTTAAAAGAGAGGAAGACCCTCAATGAGATGGATTGACACAATGACTGTAACAGTAAGTTTAACTACAGCTGAGATTGTGAGAACGGCACAGGATTGGGCAGGATTTCGATCTGTGTCACAGTTGACTTGACAACACCTGACAACAACAATAGCAATCTTGGTGGGAGCAGCTGGTGGATCTGAACCTGGCCTTTCGGGTAGCAGACAAGCACTTAACCATTGGGGCATCAAAACCCCTTATTTGGTCTGCAAAGCCTGAAATATTTTACTGTCTGACACTTAACAGAAGTTTGCCAGTCCCTGCTTCAGATAGTCAAGAGGGACTTCTCTTTGAAGATGGTATTTGAGCAAAGATTTAAATAATGAAGAAGGATGCACCGACAAAGGCCTGGAGATTGTTCCAGCAGGAGAACAAGCAAGTTTAATGCTCAAATGCTTGATGAGTTGGATAATTAGTAAGAAGGCCAGAGGTGCTGGAGGACGGCAAGGGGCCTGGGAGTGATAGATAGGATGGGAAGTCAGAGGGCGGACTGGGGCCAGGTTCAACAGGTCTTTTAGAGTTTGTTTTATTCCAAGAATAAAGGGAAACCATTGGGTATCTTGAACTCTAAATAACAAATAAAAACATTGTGGACCCTAAATCTGGGGTTGATATAAATTTGTCTCTCTGTGTATGAACATTTTGGGAGGTCGTGAAGCATGCCAGTGGGTTTTGTGGATTCTCAAATAGGTCTATGCCTTCCAGTCTCAAAAGATGAAAGCCAGTATCTCAGAAAACCCTGCAGACTCTTGCCTGGGTTCTGAAGCGCTATCATCAGCCTCTCTGTAAACCAAATCTGTTGCCTACTAGTCAACACGCAACTCATGGCAACCCCAGGGGTCAGAATCAGGGCTTGGGACAGGAGTGAGCCAGTTCAATCATGGCCAGTGAGACAAAACCAGAAGAACACTGAAGTTTTAAAATTTTGGTTACCAAGAGTGATAACTGGAACATTAAAAAGTATATAAAGTTATTGTTATTATTATAGATATTATGCTGTCACTATCTAGATCTGTCTTGAAGTACAATATTGTCAGTGACAGGATAATATCTATACACATACAAGGAAGTCCAGTGAATACCACTATCATTCAAATATATGCCCCAACAACCAGAGCCAAGGAAGAGGAGATAGAAGATTTTTACCAACTTTTACAATCGGAGATTGATTGAACATGC